TATAAGTTGTATTGTACCAATGTTGTGGCAAAATTTGGGGAAATTATGTCAGACTAGAATAAGAAGAATTTCTCCTACACTCTGTAAGTTTACAGTGTGATAAATTATCTTCATAGAACTTTTGAATATGTAATTCAACTTGCAGTTTAGATTTCATTCTTCAATATTTGTATCTGTGGAAAACAATACATAGTTATAAATAAGCACTATTTCATGCAGTGCTTATCTCTAGTCATGCTATGCACGAGATAATACACAATGTGATAAGGAGGATTATTGATACAGCTTGCAGATGTCTAGGGCACGAAGAAATGCAGTTGTGTGGCAGCTGATAAGCTTGCTCCACAGCTAGCTTAGCAAGTCGCTTTCCCTCCTGACAGTAGGATTGTACTGGGACATGGAAAACTCTTGGCTATGGTTTTGTTAAATAAAACGAATCACCTCTCACTAGCATTGCTTTCAGCCTGCAGTAAGTGTGGCAAAACTCTTCTCCTTGTTGGTAACTGGCAGTGATGCTCAGTGTTCTTTCCTGTCTCGGTCCCCATTGTCCCAGTGGAAGAGATGGTGTAGCCACCTATCACAAGTGTCACTCTGAGAACAGGAGGAGATTTGGAGAGGACAGCAGCTGGACAAGGAGAGCTGGGAAACAGTGGCAGAACATAAATGTCCCTGAAGTTCAGCTGGAGTGGGTCTTTTCTGTCTTTTATATCATGGTGCTTTACTATATGTAGTCTTAACAAAACTGCAAACACAAGAGGGATCTTTTTCCCCCTTCTGTCTTTTCACTCCCTAAAACTAGCCTGTTCCATATTTTTCCCCTCCATAGACTTCTCTGTATGAGGATTTTGCAGGGTGAGCATGAGGCCATGTCAGAAATCAGTAAAGTCCAGCTTCCATGGAAATACAATCCACACTGCTGCATCAGATGAGGTCTAAGGACAGATGCAATGTAGTTATATCATAGTCATTAGAAAGCCCCCAGTGCACTTCGACCACAGCGCACCAAGACAGACTGTGCACAAGGAGCTGGGGTTTCAGATCTGGGTGAGAGCTATCACACAGCAACAGAAAACAAGATTAGTGTCATGACTGTTTTACTGTAACTCCTCCTTTAAAAACATGCTAGAAAGGTTTCCTGCTGTAAAACATGCTTCTCAGTTTATAGAGAACCCTCCCTTCTTGTATCCTTAAATGTTTTTTAAAAATGCACTGTAATTTCGCTCATTCCTTCAGACTTTACTGTCTCATAGCTGGGCATTCAGCCCTCAGCCTGATTCTTCAAACAGTCCTCTCCTGCCAAACACACAAGGCAGACCTTGGCCATACACAACAGGGATGTTCCTCTGTGTGATTGAACAGTTTGGTCAGCTTCATGCAGTGCCAACACCTCTAAGGATTACCAGGATTGGAAGTGTCACCCTGAGGTGCTATTTATCTGTCTAGGCAACAGTGCTCTTCAGCCATCCAAGGGCATACCGTGTGTGATTTTATTCATGCATGTTGATGTCTCCTAGTGCCATGGCACGACAATGTCGTATCCATGAAACTGAGCATATCAATTCATTGCATGCAGTAAATCTGCTTTGTATGTCATTTTAACATGGTTTAACGAAAGCCTGTAAAATGTTAAGATGCACCTGGAAATTACTCACACTGTAGTTCAGACTGCTGTCAGTTCTGTTCATAGGAGGAAAAATACATCAAGAGTTTGGTGTATGCTTAAGGCTTTTCAGTATATGGCAGCAGGGAGCTTTTGGATCTCACTGTTTTATTAGATGTGATATTTTTAGATCTTCATTCTTGGTGAAATCAATGCACAACAAATTTCTGGAAAGGGAGGAATTTAACCTCACTTGCAGCTAAGTATCACTTTTCTTTGACAAGTACTCCAAGCAAGAAGAAAAAAAAAAAAAAGGCTTTTTTTTTTCCTTCCAGAGAAGTAATTCCATGTTTAACAGATGATGTTTCTTAAATTTGAAGTAACAGGAGCCTGACATTTTTATGTTCCTTACATTGTACCTAACTCAAATATGCCCTTATCATAACTGATGCTTTCCAGTATTTTCCAGGGTACAGACAGTTAAATAACAAGTGAGAAAACACAAGGCATTGTTTTGTCAGCATTTGCAAGCACTTAACTTAATAAGCTGGAGGACCATGGTGGGAAGTTTTGCTAGGAAAATCCCAGGGGCTAAAGGAAAACAAAACCCGCTAGACTGAATGGGGCTGGCTTCAATGGCTTTTATTTCCCAATAGCAAATGAGCCGTCTGTTCAGAGGCTTGAAGCTAGCCCTCTTTGCACAGAGGTGCAGTCCTGGGAACTGTGTGCTCCTCTGCTGCCATGTACTCTTCTGCTGCCACTGCTGCTGCATGGAGGAGCAGGCTGAACAGTCAGCCTGGCCTGTGGCTGGGGACCGAGGCAGCTGAAAGCCTATGTTACCCAAGCAGGTCTGGAGCTTGGTGCTGGGAGTTTCTTCTCCCTTACACACCCTGGTTGCCAACACATCACTGACCCAACTGGCATGAGCAGCAGGGTGACAACTTGCAGAATAGTGACTTCCATTTGCTTCCAGAGCTGGGTGGAAAGACAACCCTTTGTGTTTGACTTTTGCTCAATCACAGTCCTTTTCTTGAGTGCAGCCACATCCAGCATCAGCGTATAGATTATTGGACCTATTGGTGATACTGAGGAGCCCAGGGAGGCTCAGAAACTCCACCCAAGACCAGTGTTCAGGGCAGTGGGCTGCATGTGGACTTCTGCCAAAGACTTTGGGGCTTTCTCAGGGGCATATGGCTGCCTGCCTCACTGTACCGCTTCTTCTTGTCCCTGTTTTCAACATACCCCAGAATGATAGCAACAGAATGTTCTGTTTGGCACACTTAGTTTCTCAACAACAGATCTGAAATGGAAAAAAAAGAAAAATGTTGGAAAATTGGAAGCTTTCAATTGCAGCTTTAAACAACACTATGAGAACTTTCCTGTCAGCTCCATTGTTCCCACATTGGACTTCTCTGCTACAGGCCTGGTGAGGATGCTGTCATCATCTTTTGTCCTTGACTGTAGATCCCATGACTTGCAGTGTTCCTGTCTCTGATGTTGCTCTTCCAAAGCAGCCTGTAATGAAGAAATTACATGCTTAAGCTGGAACAAAGTCCACCACTGCCTCTCTAGCTAGGGGGTTGAACACAACATGCTCAGTTCCATCAGCGAGTAGCTGAATTTGAAAAATTGGCTTGGTTTCTGCAGAAAACAGCTCAGCAGAGCTGTTCTGTGCAGAAGACAGCCTCTCTATCAACGTGGACAGTTCTGCAAATAAAGAGATGCAATTTTCTACTGCCTGGGAGCAGGTACAAAGAAGGGACAAAAGATCATGGTCCTTTGCGTGGGTTTCAAGTACTCTTTTCTAGGACTGTTGTGATCTGAAAGAGCAGCAGACAAAAGCTATGAAGTGGATTCATGTGTTTAATGCCACCTCAGCGTGGGAGAGTTTCATCCTTTTGCTGCAAAATTGCTGCCAGCCCCTAACAAAGTCATTTAGCCAGAGCCATTGGTGCTTTGTACTGGCAGCTGGCACTTTGCCTCCCATCTTGTCCTTTGCAAGCTTTGCTGGTCTGCAAAGAGTTAGGCATTGAGTGGCACTGTGGCACCACTAGTTGCAAGCAAGCTCAGTTTAGGGATGCTTTTTGGTACATAGAAAGCATGTGTGTGATTGCCTGGTTGGTAACCAGTGTCTGTAGCCTGGCACATCCTGAGTGTTTGCAAAGCCCTTCAGAAAACATTCTTCTGTTTCATCTAGGTGGGTTTGATATCCAAATAGAAAGGTGTCTGCACAGCTTACAGCTGGCACTGCTCAAGCTGGAAATAGCTGGCACCTTCTTGGCGGGCATGGCAAAAAGTCTGCGTGCTGCAGAAACTGACTATAGTGAGCTGCTAGATCTGCAGAGAGCATCACTGTAATAAAAACAGAGTCAGTATGTTAGCAAATAAATACCACAGTGACAGGAGAGCCTGTCTGAAAACAGTCCTCACTGGGTAGTGCTGGGAAGCCCTTATTGTTGCTGCCTCTGCTAAACCTGACCACTGATGACAAGACTTTGGTTTCCACCTCAGTCAAGCATGTCAAGTCAAGCCTGGAAAATCTCAGGAACCCTGTCTTCACTCTGACACAATTTGATGTAAGGGCTTTCCCCCTATGTTTAGAACCTCTTTAACCTTTCAAGGAGCAAGCATCCTTTAACTCAGTACTCTCACTAAAGCTCAAATCTTGCATTTCTGCATTGAATGTTGAATTTTATTCTGGGCTTTATTCCCCTCAGAGCTTTGCAAAGCAGAGAAAAGAGGGGGAAGCATTTTAATCAGGGTAAGGCTCTTTGGCATTTACACTATTGAAGCCTGAGGAGGGTCTGAATTTCTATTGAATAGAGACTAAGAAAAGAAGTAGATCTGGTGAAGGATGGCATTTCAGTGCAAGAAGGATGTGTGTTTAGGACTTTCCATTACATAATAGGGCTGAAATGGATTAACAAGACCCAGGCTTTCTTTTTCTTGAGAATTGCTGCCTGCACTACTCTTTTTCTGTTACTGATGCTTCAGCCATAGCACTCATAGAAAGGTTTTCTTTGTTGTTATTAGTTTGAGAAGTAAATTGCAGGATTGTTTCTCCTGATTAAGAAACTGATTAGTCAGAGGTCTCTAGCTAAATGTTCCTCATTATCAATTTTAAGTGCAAATGCATTTGCCAAGCAGTGTTTCAGATGTTGTCATGATGGGGGGGAATGCCTTTCTCTTTTGATGTGCTGCCCATAACTATTTACAGATCTTTGAAAGGTGTCCCTCTCATCAGATCAATGAAGAAATAGTGTGGGAACAATACTCTTGAAAGAAGAAATTAACCATTGCCATTTCCAGTTGGATGGTTCTCTTAGTGTTTTCTCGTAGTGTTGGTGCATTAGTATATTTATGGGTTGTGTTGTGTTTTGTCCACTCTTTCTCTTCCTAGGTGCTTTCATTATCTGCTGGACCCCAGGATTAGTCTTGCTGCTCCTTGACGTTTGCTGTCCCCAGTGCAACGTCCTGGCATATGAAAAATTCTTCCTGCTCCTGGCAGAGTTCAACTCCGCCATGAACCCCATCATCTACTCCTACCGGGACAAGGAGATGAGCGCGACCTTCAAGCAGATCCTCTGCTGCCAGCGCAGTGAGAATGCCAATGGCCCCACTGAAGGCTCAGACCGCTCAGCATCCTCCCTCAACCACACCATCTTGGCGGGCGTCCACAGCAACGACCACTCAGTGGTGTAAAACCACAGACAGCCACATGGCCGATGAAGAGCAGCGGGGGATGATGTGGAGCGGAATGGATGCACAGCCTGGGGCAAGGTTTTCTCAGACACTAATAGACTACAAGTACTTCTCTTCCTGGAAGCTCCACACACCGGCGCAGTCTGTCCTGTCTGCAGGACTGTCCTTGCTGAAAGGCTTTTGGTTTCCACTTTCAAAAAGCAGAAGGCAGATGCCTTTTGGCGAAGGTCATCAATAGCCCATGGAGAGCCTCGCTGAGACTTTGTCGGACTTTGCTGCATCTTGGTGCCAGTCTGAATCAACCCTGATTAATTAAGCTTATACCTGCTTCACTGCATTTACATGTAGCCACTTAGTCTTTTATAAAGGGAGTAAAGGGGATTAAAGTATGCCTACCATTTAATAGACATGTAATATTTATCACCATCAGCATGCTTGTGATGAAAATTTTCTGTGCAGGGATTAAAACTGTGCTCTAGTCTTTGCGTCGTTAGCCACACTGCCGTAACTACAGTGAAAACAGAAGTAATTTTTCTAGTACAGGCAACCGAAAGATGATGAAAACTGACTCTTCTTACCTTCATTACTGATGTTAGAAAGCATGCATGTTCTGTGTGTATGCAGATTGTTCTAATTAAAAAAATTGTTGTAAATTCTGCAAGTAGAAAAGTATAGACTGTATTGCAGTGTTTGTTTAGATTATGAAATAAACAGTACTCTAGTCACAAGGTATTTAATGTTCTTCTTTGAAGTGCGGTATGGAACGTGTAACGTGTAAGGGGTCCCAAGTTTTTCATGGTCAAGTTCTTAAAGTAGGGCACATCCATAAGGCTCTTAAAGGGCTGCAGTCAGGTTGGCAGAATTTTTTAAAAAGTATTTATGGCATTGGAACGCTTTTCTTTTCCATGGTGGAAAGCAAAAGGATTTTTTGATGTATACAATTGTATTTTGTATTTTATAAAGTCAAGATAACATAGGTAGTCATCTCTTGCAAATGACAGGACTGTGCTACATGTAATAGCCATGCATGGATATTGTTAAGACTAGCTGAGCTAACAGATGGATTTTTTCATATATGCGTATTTTGAAGAGAAATATCACTTGTGTGAATCTTGGTTACCAAGAATCAGTGACATCAATCACACAGGTGTAAATATGGGTGAAGATGGGATCTTGATAATGAAAAACTTGGCACCTTTCTCTAGGAAATTCTGTGTTCTCCTAACAGTATAAAATATATCAACAGTAAATTCCTGGGGCCATTTTCGTCACTGTAATGTGCCTCTATAACAAAAAACAAAACAAACAAACAAAACCACAAAAAAACTCAAAAAAAAAAAACCCAAGAAAAACGTAAAAAAACAGGAAAAAACACACAAAAGAGAAAAAACACAAAACCCACCAAAACAAACAAAAAAAAAACAAACACAAAAAAAAACACAAGAAAAACTTAAAAAAAAATACAAAACCACAAAAACAAAAAATTATCAGAGGTATATCCATCTATGTACTGTACTGAAATGTAACACAAGGGACAATATTCTCCCATTTGGGCAGGGAAAGAATGGAGGGGAGAGTATAAGCCCAGGAAAAAGCAGAATTTTTAGCAACTCTTCCTTGGAAGATATACTTGGATTTCATGCTTCCAAGCATAAAATTGCTTGGAAAATGCAATTCGTTGCTGAGGGAAGGGGGAAACAGCAAGTGAGCAAAACCTGTCTGCATTGAATAACATGAGAGTTTTGCCACTGCTCTCAGTGAAACTGAAATTCACCTGTACTGTCAAGCCAAATTTGTGTGGACACTGTGGAAAATCAAGTGGACAGAGAGGATAAACTCAACATTATCTGTCAGTTGACCAAGATAATGAACGTTGCACTTGCTTTGTACAAAACAGCTCTTTTTTTCTGACTGCATTTTAGAGCAAGTGAATGTAAATGTTGATTTGGTTTTTATCCACATAACTGTACTGCGAAAGAGAAGAACAGGTTGGATGAACTTTTTCATTTAAAAGCATCTCTTTGCCAAGCCACTCATAAATTATTCTTAGTGCCTCTGTGATGTTTCATCTAGTGCAGTTAAGCAGAAGAGAGGGTGAGAGTGCCTCCAAAGAGATGGCACATCCAACTGAAAAACAATTTCCTTTTCTCAAGAATGCATGGAGTTGCCTTCTTCCCTGGACCCAGGAAGAGCACTTTTTCCTGTCCCCATCTCCATAAAAGAAGGATATTGTAGACACTTTATTTTTGGAGATGCCCTTTCCAAGTGTCCATTTTACTGCTGTTTGCATGCTTTTTATTGTATCTTTCCTGGATGGGTGGGAGGATGATGTTAAGAAATAGCAGCTAATCATTCACCCTCGTTCACTGTGTTGAAAGTGTGATGGTTTTGAAGAAGACATGGGGGAATAATTTTAAAGCAGGTGTGTGACAGGGGATTGGGTCCAGAGGGCAGGCATTTCTTTTCTCATTGTAATTATGACAGGAGTCAGTCACTGCCCAGGTACATCAATCAGACCTTCTCCAAGGAGGCACTCAAGAGTTCAAAAAGCTGGACTATCTATCAGCAGCTAAATATCAGTCATCAGGTAGATTAATCCGGGAGCACTTCTGGCAGTAGGTGGCTTTTTCTTCTAAAAGGTGAAGTGCAATTCCTTAAGGTCAAAGGCAACAGGGTACATGTTGCTTATACAATTCCACTAGAGGAACTCACTGAGCATGTGGCTGCTGTTTAAAGATCTAATTAGTGCTGTGTTTTGTTGTCATGATCTCCCTATATCCTTGAGAAATCTGATCTGTGGATTGTGTTACTTTGCAAGCTAATGAAATTAAAGCTGCTGTGAGCAAAGAGAATAAAAACCAGAGCTTGGAATGGAAGGATTCATTGGCTGTCTTCTTTAGAGTGGCTCCCATGCCACTTGGTTTCATCTCAAAGTTTTTCTAACTTTTGCCTCTCTTCATTGTGCAGTTGTAGAACCCACTTCTGCTGTGTGAAAACATGGTGCAAAGTACTTAGGGGAAAAAAAATTGCTCCACTTATTTTTACTTATCTCAAATCCTTCAGAAGGTTTTAGAAGGGTTCTTAAAATACCAACAGTCCTCCCACAGTCATTAAAATTCTTCTGTTGCTGGCTGCCTCTGGTCCAAGTAAATGCTCTTAAAGTTCAGAAGTAATGGTGTTTGTTTCAGCAATTGTAGTGGTAGGAAGCTGTGCATTAAAAGGAGTATGCTTAATGAAATTATTTGCAGGTCAAAGAAAACGTGGTTTTCCTACCTTGTTTTCCCAGTGGCCGCACAAGTCTGAAAACTAATTGAAAAGATTGCCTTTGAGTGAAGGATTATTAAGTGGAATTTTAACTCCCTGTTTCTGTCACACTTAGAGAGGCTGAGCAACCAATAGGTCCACAGAGCTGTTAATCACAGCATTTACATGAAAAGTTGTAAACATGTTTTGTGCTTGATGCACGTTGTATTCTTGTCAACCTCTTTTTTGCTCCATCTCTGAAATCTGTTGGTATCTCCAGGCTGGCCGCTAACTGGGGTGCTCAAAGCTGGGCAGATAACTGGCACAAGGAGAAAGGGCAGATCAACTAAGAGCTTTTTCATTTATTCCCTACTGAGGCATGACCCCACCCCATTATGCCTGTAATTCCTTTGGGTCCCTTCTGACTGAGATGGGAGGGAGCTGGCAGAGGTCAGCTTTAGCAGACTGGTTCTTTTGCACCTGCTGCAGAAGTAACATAACCTGAATACAGGCTTTTCCTTTCTGGTCCTCTTAAGGGCTTTCCTGTTGAGCAATATGCAATTTAAGTCCTTTGTGATCAGTTCCTGCTGTTAGCCATCAGTCTGTGCTATACACCATGTATGTATGTATGGAGGGGCTTTGTAACTGCAATCTCATTTGTCCAAACAAGTTGCCCAGGCTTTACTATTTGGTTGGAAAGGTCACTTCCAATAGACAGATACCTTAAACAGTCCAGACATAACTCCTCAAGAAAACCTGCTTGTTTCTTTCCTCCTGTTTTCTTTTAGAGGATTGTCAAGAAATGTATTTACCTAGCTCTGGTTTTCTAAATCTTATCAAGGAGAAAAGAGGTTGATAAACACAAAAACAAACAAGGGTATTAAACTATGCTGTTGTCTTCTGTGGTACATGGAAATGCAACCTGCTGATAAGCTGTCAGCATTTTATTAACAAAAGCCTCTGTGAAATGTTCCCATTTGCCTGTGATAAAATTCTGATAACCAGAAGTGTATGTGGGAGACTCGGGAATCTATTCATTTGTTTCCGTGTTTAAACAAAACCATGTTTATACATCACAAGTATGGAGAGAACCAATGAGGTTTGGCAAAAAAAACCCTGCTATTATGTGCACTTACTGTAAATGTTTAGAGGTTGTTTCTAGTACAATAAAGTATTTAGGATGTGTAATACAGAGTGTGCAAAAATACTCTTCATCCTGAGAGCTGGTGTTTTGGATGTGGAGGGGAATTATTCAAGAAGTGGTTCCTAGGGAGTGTGGGGGGAGCACGGGCTGATCTGTTCCAGGCAACAGCATAGGGCTGAAACACAGGGGCAATAAAGGGGGAGGTTATTTCCAGTAAATCACTTGATCAGTTCTGTTCCATATTCTTACCTGTCCATCTTCCTTTCAAGTCCACACTTGCACCATTTAACTTCAGACCTCCTTTAGTGTGTAGAAAAGTTTTCCTGCCCAGAGAACCTGCTGATTCTTTTCCCTCTCCCTCTTACTTCCTTTCTCTCTCCCCTTCTCTCCTTTCCATTCTCTTTTTTGCTGTGCATGAGCAGGTTTGTTCTAGATGATGTCCCCAGTTTCAATTCAACCACGGAAGGTCATACGTTTACTAAACCAAAGCTTCTTGGCTTACACATAGGAATGAATGTGTACACACACAGATTTGCAAAACCGTAGGAAGGAGGAAGAGACAAAAGGAAAAAAGAAAAATATTATTATTTCAATGCTGTTTGAGCATAGCTAGCGTTAAGACTCTGTGCTAATTCCTATTTCACGTTTCGAAGAAAGCAGGCATTAGGTAAAGGGTCAATTAGCTAC